CTCTTCCATAATAAACCTCATACTCCTATTCATTGCTTAAGATGTCTATCTTGATTAGCAGTACATATCTTGACAAAAACAACAGTTACATCAGACAATAATTCGGTTGAAACAAAAAAAACAAATGATTAGTAAGTGAATTTGTTTCCAGACTCCATTTTGAACACACCATTGAATTCACATGAGATCAAGTTCAAAACCCTCGAGTATGGCCATGAGCATGATACTGTTGAGTTGTTGGTCCAGGTGTTGGCGAAATCACCAACCTCATCGCACATCACCGATGAATAATTGTACCAATTCCTGAGTTTTGCAGTTTCTTCTTGGTCAAATGTATTCAGTCAAAATGTCTACTCAATTTGTAAATCAACATTTTCACCATTCAATTTATTCTTATTATGCTGTTCTTTTAATTGATTGATCATTAGCTAACACTATGTGAATGAGAATCAGGTCATACTACTCCTCATATCTAAATGAGTGAAACTATGTATCGTTGTGAAATAATCAATCAGCCAGACATTTCTCATTTGTGCACTTTTAAATTTCTCACTATTAATCTGGTGAAATGTCAAAAGACTACTTGCGATATATTCTGTACAACGTATAGATTGAAGTTATGATTAAAAGTACAACGACAGTTGAATTAATCTCCTTTGACTAAGGCACGCGTGAAATATCTCATCACATGAACGGAAATCAACGACAAGAATTGAGATATGCTATGGCTTTTGACCAATAATTCATGTTTATACAGGCGAAGATGAAGAGGGTATCCACTTTGTCCGATGCAGTGATTTCCACAATTGACATAATCTATTTTGTAGATGATGTTTGATTATTATTCTTTCGTTATTTCATCTTTTGATTTGCATAGTATTTGTTGTAATTATATTGTTGTTTTTTGTATGCTACGTCTATTCCGAAAGGCTTCAACAATCTCGTTGTCGTTTCATTATGTGGTCCATCTATATTAGAAGATTAAGGTACAAACAATTCTCTATGTACAAACAGTTCATTTTATTCACATAATGATTATGCAAACTGTTGTTGTATCGGATCGTATACTGAAGAAAATGTGACATTGTCATCGATGACTCTTATCTCTAAACGTACATGTTTCCTTCTGACGATTTTCACTTCCAATTTCCCTCATACGCGATTTTATTCACACACTGTTAACATCTGCTGGTACTATTGCTAATGCTGTTGTAATATTAACTGTAACTGTTCTAAAGAAATCGTCATTTTGTTCACTGTTAAGAATAATATTAACTCAAAAATCACCGGCAATTGTTATGGCTTATGTTATGACTCATGAGTTCAATCTGTGAAAATTTCTAAAAATCTCCACAAAACACATTCTAATAATAACAATCACCTGCTCACTAGTGACTGACTTCAGGAGACACTTCTGGAGTTCTAGTGAGAAGTCGTTACCAGTGGAGTTCAACCAGGTCTGTTGTGAGATAGGAACTCCCTGAAGACAATGGTGTACGGTAGCGCAACTTCGTGGATTGGTTGAAGTTAGACATTAACACCGTTGGATGCCGGCTCAGTGGTCTAATGGTTAAGTGCTCGCGCGCGAAGCCAGTAGGTCCTGGGTTCGAGCCCCGGGTGGTGCGGGGTCGTGGGTGCGCACTGCTGAGGAGTCCCATACTAGGACGAAACGGCCGTCCAGTGCTTCCAGGTTTTCAATGGTGGTCTAGCTTCAACTGACTCATGAGTTCAATCTGTGAAAATTTCTAAAAATCTCCACAAAACACATTCTGATTATGTATATTAGTCGATTATTGTGCATCAGAAGTTACTAGTGATTTAATCTTCTCTCAGATATAACACACTCCTTCAACAATAATATGCCGTCAAACCAGACACAAACCTACATAGTTCATCTTTTAGGTAAATCTGATACCAGCTTCGACATTGACGTTTCGTAAATACAAGACAATGACAGGTCTAGCACAATGATATAACATTGTAGGAAACAAAACGATGAAATACAAGTTTCACTTAAAAGAGCAGGTCAGTTAGGATATATTTTGAACTTGTTTGATTACTGACTAAACATGTCTTTTCCTCTCAATACATTTGACTCATATAAACATTTACGTACCAATATTCCACATTGTAGCAACAGCATGACTTATCAAGCAACACAGTTCAAGGGAGGACCTGACATCATGTCTGATTTTTCAACTAGTCTCCAATCTGGTTGATTCCATGTATTAGTACACTTTAGTTTGATGTGAAGTTGTTGTCGAGTTTCTTTGCTTGACACACACACACACTGATATATTTGACTACAATTAGTAAACACTAACAATCTTTAAAATCTGGTAACATTTAAATAAGCATGTGTGAGTGTGTGTGTGCATGTGTCAATGTTGTCATTATCGTCGTCATTTTGTTGTTTTGTACTATTCACCAATTTCTCCTTTTATTTGATCTGCTCACTGTTTTTCCCACCTACCGGAATTTTTATATTGTTTGTTTGAAATGGTTGTTGTTTAAAAAGAATCCTCAAATAAGTAGTATCTTTTGTTCCGATCAAATTTATTTTTTCCTTTGATGGATTGTTGTCTTCTCAAATGTCAAGTGAAGGTCTACCGTCGAGCTTATTAGTATGGTTGTAAATTTGCAAGTCAGAGGAGAGGTGAGGAAGATATTTCACTTTTGAGAGCCTCTGTAAGGATTCTTTTGTAAACTACACCATTCGATAAATAGTTTAAATCTATTTTACACAACTAAAGGGTATGACAATATAAGGCAGGCATGAATAAAATGACCAATGTTATATGTGAAAAATGATAATCATTCTCATCTGTGTCTATGGAACTACTTGAAGATGGTGTGATTTGTAAATAAGCCGAGTCAGTTAATGAAGGTCAGAATGAGTTGTAGTAAGGTTTTTCTCAATATAATTATAATCATTATATTAGTAGTAGTGATATAACCGACGTTGTTGTGAATTCAGTATGTAATAAATGCGGTATAGTCGAGGTAATTACGATGAAGAGGAATCAATGTGAATTGGGAAAGATGAATGGGAAGTTTAAGAAAGATATAAACATAAAAAGAATTTGGATAAGAGATTCTGAATACGAGTTACTACCGAGCTAATTAGGCTCTCTGTGTGAGTGAGATTTGTTACATCAATGTTATGTTCGTTCATTCTTTAGAGTTCAGACAATTCTCGAAATACCTAATGGTCTAGTTTCAGATGGAAAGAGACTTAGATTCTCATCTCACAACCACCGTAAGTTCCCTAAAGTGAAGAGATACATCTTTTTGATCATTGTCAACTAACACGATGCATACGTTTATAGGCTCCTCTTGATTGCTTTCAATTACTGGACATTGAACCTTATATTATGCAACGACATGGAAGAGACCATCTTTATAGATCAACTAATCAATAAGTCGGTTCGAAAGATACAACATCAACCTTCTGAGCACCTGATCTTCTCTCTATAATCTCAATATTTGATCACAGTTTGTAATGTTGAACATCATCTTATCAAGTGAATTGTAATATGATCGTTACAAATCACTTAACTGGAAGAACAGCTTCATGATAATCGAAATAGTGAATGTTACATATACATTTCAACTCAGAATTCACCACTCGTTGAAAAACAGTTCATTCTGGGTTCAACTAAGAATTTGTTCTTTGCTTCAATCCCACAGATATAAACATTATTTCATCATGTTAAAGAAAGTAGAAGCAGTTATCGAACTAACTCAACCTACAGTAAAAGTGAGTACAATGAATATTTGAATAAACCAGTCCTAATTGTAAGAGGGTATATTGTTGCGGGAAGGTGAGGCCATGTGTGATGACTAACATTCCTCCTCAGATTCAACCAGTGTATACCTTCCATCAAATGTTTGTCTCAATGTGTCTTGATCTTAACCAAAGCCATCTTTCACCTAGTGAACAGTGATTTTCAACTTATCTGGCAATCAATATGGATTGATAACTTGCCAAACTGCTCCTGGTGAGGTAGATGATGATGAAGAAACTTCTGACATGTATGCTGCACTACCTCACTTAATATTCTGAATGATTTTCCCTAAGAGCATTTTGAATCTGAAGATGAACACGGCATCTTAATAGTGCAGTTGAGGTAATTTGAACATTCGTATGCATTAGACCATGTATTGAATTATGGTGTTTTGATGCACTGTTAGAAACTACTGATATTTGTATAAGTAGTAAAGAAATCAATCAGTAATGTCCAACAGAACTGACTGAAGCCGGACTTCATGTTCATCTTCATTTTATAATTAAATATTTGCCACTTTGTGGTAGATCGAATCGCCATTTTTGAAAGCATCCTCATCATAAATGCCACCATGAACCTATTAAGAAATCTTCCTGATCGATTCGTGAATCTCTACAATATTGAAGTCTGTCGGCAATTAGAAGCAGATTAA